GCCCCCCCCCCCCCTTCACAAGACCTCTTGACCTTGTAGGAAAATGTGTCCTGCTTCTAGGTGTGAAAGTAAGTCAATCGAGAACCCTGTCCAGGATTAGGTAATAACTGAACAAATCATATCCTGAGGAGCAGTTACATCAGCTGATTGTGGAGGATTAACCCATTTACTTGTGCCAGTGTGCGAAGAATGGAAATCTTGGCCGCAGCCCAGCTCTTCCGGTGGAGATATTTTTTTGAAAAGGAAAGTCCTTGAGTTATCAATATGAAAAATTAGCTCCAAATTTGCCTCGGGAACTACTTTCAATGTTTCTCAGGAAACTCAAAAGATTAGTCAGGTGTGCAAGGGACAAGAACTTCAGCCCGATGTGCTGAAAAATGGGACATTTTCTCTTCTCCTAAAAAAAATCAGTGTTTGGAGAAAACTAAGTGGTTGCCCCTCTAGACTCTTCCCTTCTGGCTGCAGACATGCTGCACCCTCTCATTGTGTGTATAGGAATTGTTTTTTTCATATGTATTTCCTTAGAGCTTATTATTGATAAGATTATAATAAATTTTATTTTTTTAATTTTATTTACTTATTTATTTTTTTAAATATATCTTTATTGATTTCAGAGAGAGGAGAGGGAGAGAGAGATAGAAACATCAATGATGAGAGAGTCATTGATCGAGCCCACAACCCGGGCATGTGCCCTGACTGGGAATCGAACCCCGATAGCCTGGATCCTAGGTTGATGCTCAACCGCTGAGCCACGCCCGGCCGGGCAGATTATAATAAATTTTAAAGAAGTTTTAAAAGCAAGAGGGGTTCCCTCTCTGGCAATAAATTCCATATCTTAATGCCCCAAAATATATTGAGCAGGAGCCCATGTGTCTGGGAGTCGTGGAGAAAGAGAGACTTTCGGCGTGTTCCTCTGGGCTTGATGTTCTTCGGAACTCCTGAAAGGGAAGTTCTTGTGTCTTTCCTCTTAGCACTCTGCTCTCTTTCTCGAGTATTTCTACCTGGAACAACTGTTGTCACCAGATAAGATTTGTACATGCCTAGTCTGTTCTCCATAAATCAGGAACAGTTAATATTTTCTATTGTCCTGCATAATTTCCACCAGATAGAGGCTTGGGAAAGTATTTACATTTTGTGAACAACAGGATCCCCACCCATAAAATAGGGGCCCTGTTCCCCTTGTCGAGCACACCGGTATTACCTGCGTGGGAAGTGTAGCACAGGGTCCAAGCTCAGCAGCCTTGGTTCCCTTCTCTCCAGTGTCCGGCGTTTCTAAGGGCCGTGCCCCCCGCGAGTCTTCCTCTCATAGTCCCAGGACTCCTGACACACAGTCTGCAGGCCACAGGCCACACCCAATAAAATGGGTATCTCAGGGCGGAAGCTGTGAACTTCTCTACCTGGAAGTCCCAATAATGACACACACAACTTTTGTCAAATATGGGCAAAAACTTACTTTTTCCATATTGCACAAAAGCCCTTCTTATATCCTTACATGTTAACTTGGGGTGGTTAGTGAGGGGGGCCCTATGTGCTCACCAGCTTCAGCAGGGACAGTGACCCCCAGGCTGCAGCTGGTGAGAGGACAGAGGGATGGAACCAGTGACTTGACATGTGGTTTCCCAAGCTCCCCTTTTCTCCCTTAGAACCGCATGGAAGAGAGCAAAGCCTTATTCAAAACCATTATCACCTACCCCTGGTTTCTCAACTCGTCCGTGATTTTGTTCTTAAACAAGAAGGATCTTTTGGAAGAGAAAATCATGTACTCTCATCTAATTAGCTACTTTCCAGAATACACAGGTAAGTGTCCACCTTGTGGACCTTGCTGACATCGGTCCCGAGTCCTTGCACGGCTCCCAGGGGCCTCCCTGGTCTGCCTCTGACAGCCTTTCTCACCTTCCAACAAAGCTCCTATTGCATCATTGTGTGTTTTCACCTCCACACAGGCCTCTCCCAGGCCTGGAATACACTTGTCAGCTCCCTTTGCTAATTCCAATTTGTTCCCCAAGACCCAGCTCAGGCAGCTCCTCCTCTGGGCTGACCCCCAGCAGGTGCACCTCCCTTGGCGGCCTGGGTTCACCTTGCTGTCTTCCCAGTGGCCTCCTGAGGGCAGGGACTGTGCCTGACTTATCTGTGCATCCCCAGTGTTGGTCAGAGCACCTGGCACGTCTTATGTGTCGGTTACAGTGTGGCAGTCCCTTTACTGACACAGGGTCGACACTGAGGTTCTTTGTATACATGACCCATCCAAGGCAGGCCAGTTTGTGGCCTCTTGCTAATCACTTCTGGTACCGGAGGTCTCAAGTGTTACTAGGTTTGGCCCTGATATTTAGAGGAGGGCTGTTTTAGCACTTTTTCCCTGTATTAACTGTGCTGGCCACGGAGTACAGGGCCCATAAACTTTAAAATCAGACTTGGGTGCCTGGCAACGTTAGTTCCCACTTTCTTCCTTCCGCCCCTCCCAGCCCCCGTCTGCCCGCCTGAGTTAGTAAGAATGACCGCTCTTCGAAAGTGGCCGTGTCAGAGAGGTCAGTCGGGTCACGTCACTGTTCTTCCACACGTTGCCTTAGAGTGCAATGCTCAGATACCGGCAGACACTTTAACACCCTCTTGTACAGGTTCATGAGCTATAACTATTCTCCAGACATAAGACAGCTTCAAGAAAGAGCCCAGATGAGAACAAGCGTGCCCGGAGTTCAGGGGGGGCCTACCTGCTGGTGAGTGTGTCTCTTCTCTCACCCTCACTGTGACCAGGGCCGAAGCAGGATGTCAAAGCGGCCAGAGACTTTATCCTGAAGCTCTATCAAGACCAGAATCCCGACAAGGAGAAGGTCATCTACTCCCACTTCACGTGTGCCACCGACACGGAGAACATCCGCTTCGTGTTCGCTGCCGTGAAAGACACGATCCTGCAGCTGAACCTGAAGGAGTTCAACCTCGTGTAGCAGCTGTGCCCGCGCCGCGGGGGACACGGGACTCGGCCCCTCGGCCCGCTGGGCAGCACCGCGCTGTCCCCCCGGCCACGGCCACGGACCACGGACCACGGAGCTTGTAAGACATTTCAGTTCAGCGACCCTTTAAAAAAATCTTGAATCCCAAATTGTTTTTATATTTCTTTTCTTGACTTCTGGCTGTAAGAGTTTGTGTAATTATTGAATTTGAGGTTTTATAGAGTTTTAAAAAGTCACTGTGATTTGCTGTTTTGTTTTTTTTAAAAAATAAATTTGTGTGTTTAACAGCCATTAAAAAAATCACGTAACGGGGGTGGGCTGTTAATTTAGAGATTGTGCCTTGGGACCTCTAGGATTAATTTGCGTGACTTTGCTGTTTTTTAAAATAAGTTAAGCTTTTTATTAAATCTACTAATTTGAGGCATTTTTGTTTTTCTCTCTCTATGCTGAAAAGTATGATGCCTTTAACATGCCACCAAAGATTTTTTTTAAATGGTTCTTTTTTTGTGTTAACTTTCTAAGCCAAATTAATGACTGTGTTGGTACGTCTAATTTGGTTTTCCACACTTGGGTCACCAAGAAGCCAAAGCTGACATAAGGTAAATGGGCTCTAGATCACACGTGTTATACCGGTGAAAAGCATGTGTGTATATATATCCCAGTGTATGTGACCAGGCCTTATAAACATATGAAATAGCTAAAAGCCCCCACTGTTTAACGAATGTGATGTAACCCTGCCAGAGTTCTGGCGGCCACCAGAGCTGTGCTGTTTGAACCACGTGCGCTGTGCCTTTCGAGGAGGCCAAGAATACACCATTCTGCCATTAGCACTGGACGCTGTGTTTCTTTGAGCTCATGGTTGCGTTATGGTTCTGCTGCTAGACAGAAAAATGCTGTAACTTTACAGTTAACTGCTCAGAAATGTTCCCAATGTCCTTCTAGGAGAGGAAAAGTGATTTTACCTCTACCTTCTCGGTTTGGGGCTGAGATCTGTTCCTGTAATAATGAGAGAGCTTAACAGGAGAAAAACACAAGCCTAATAGCATGCATTCCTCCTGTGCACATGGGAGATACCCAGGAAAACAGTCACTCCACGGAAGTCACCGCCCTCTGGTGGGG